GCTTTAGGTAGCAACCTCCGGGCTTCTATACCAAGCACCAACACAAGCCCCATAACAACCTGCCCAAAACACCTCAGGTACGTCTTTAGATAATGACACACTTCTTAAGTTACTCACCAATTTGTCTCAGGGGTAAGAAAATCAAGCCAAAGCAATGCAAAACCAAGACAAAAGGGTGGACCAAATGGAGAAGCAAATTGGGCAGATTGCGGAGTTTGTAGGACAATTCAAAGAGCAAGGTAAGTTGCGTAGTTCGACCGTTGTCAACCCGAAGGGAGGATTTGAATCTACAAAAGCCATGAGTTTGTGAAGTGGAAAACAAGTTGGATCTGATCCCCAACCGTCCAATTCACGTTCCAACGAGGTTGAAGAGTTGATAGTTGAAAAGGAGGAGCAAAGCACCCCCACGGCAAGGGTGTAAACATCTTTGCCGCAGGCCCCAAAAGCTCTTAAACCATCCAATTCGGCCAACAAAGGTAAGGAAGTTCCAATTTTGATTAATTCTAACGTTGTTCCTCCAAATGTACCCTTTCCTCGTAGGTTTATGCAATAAAAAAAGGAGGAGGCTGAAAAGGATATTTTGGAAATGTTTAGAAAAGTTCAAGTTAATATACCACTTTTGGATGCAATTAAGCAAGTTCCAAGGTATGCCAAGTTTTTAAAAGAACTTTGCACAACTAGGAAGAGAATTTCGAGCAAGGAGGTTGTCAAGGTAAGTGAAAATGTCTCAGCTGTTTTACAACGTAAACTGCCCACTAAATGCAAGGATCCGGGAAGTTTTACCATTCCTTGTGTAATTGGTAATACTCGTTTTGAATCGGCCATGTTAGACTTAGGTTCATCTATAAATATCATGCCTTATTCAATCTATGCATCGATGCACTTAGGCTAATTGAAAAATGATGGTGTGATTATACAATTGGCCGATCGTTCTAATGCCTATCCAAAGGGAGTTTTGGCAGATGTTTTAGTACAGGTCAATCACTTAATCTTTCCCGCGGATTTCTACGCGCTTGAAATGGACGAGTCGGACCACTCCCCTACATTGCCCATCCTCCTTGGACGACCATTCATGAAAACGGCTCAAACCAAGATTGATGTAGCCAAAGGATCAGTGACTATGGCATTTGGTGGTGATGTGATTAGCTTTAATATTCTTGAATTTGTTGAGAATATTAATAATGTTCGTTCTTGTTGTGCCATTGATGTAATTGAAAATATAGGGCAGAAACGTTCAACGGTAATAAAAAAGAAAGTAGAGGAGGAAATTGGAGTGAACAACAAAGAGTGCACGACCACACCTCTCAAGACCCCAATTCTGACCGAGAGCAATCTTTATGCATTTGTTGATAGTGCTGCCATTTCATTGCATCACATTGGTACATCACCTAACCTAATTTCAATTCCCATTTCAACTAATAGGTTGTTACCTTCTATGGTGTAGGTACCTAATTGAATGCAAGGTAGTAGGGAAGTTTACATCGATTGTTGGAAGCAACATACCAAAATCAGGAATGACTACTATCCCGTTCCGTTCAAGGATTCAATGTGTGAGCACTTTGAGGAGCATGTTGTGGAGAATGTACCCCTCCATGCCGTGGGCCCTGTACAAGCTTAAATGGAGGTATTGTCCGGCTGGAAGACGTTAAAGCAAGCGCTTCTTGGGAGGCAACCCATGTATTCAAATAAGGAAGATTTTTGAATTGCTCCACAATCAGTTTTGCGTTTCTAAAAACCTTCACCTTTCTGTAGTTTTATTTTGCCATGATTGTCATTTTTATTTGTTGCTTGTTTAATTGTTTTTGGTGTGGGTTTATTTTTGAAACACTGACAATGATTCAAGGTATTTTTACATTCATAAAAAAGAAAGGAACATTAAGCAGATAAATACAAGAGGGAGCCTTCACAAAGGCTGCTTAGGAGCAATCTCAGTAGTCAGCGGAGCCCTAGAAGGAGGAGGCATTGGAGGTTGATCATTTGGAGCTTCATTATGCGGTACAGCCCCAGAAGACGAAGGCAAATGCTGTTGGAACAAACCCACAAACCTCTGATGATCAAGTAAAATCTGACCATCAGATTCCTGCATCTGGTCGATCTTCATGTTCATGTTTGTGGCATAGTTATGTGCAAGCCTGTGCAACTGTTTATTCTCATGCTTGAGCCCTCTAATCTCCTATTTGAGACTCATCACTTCAGCCGCCAATGATTCCACTTGACGGTTCGAGCAAATAGGCGTTGGGCCATATTAGATACAGAACCTGCGCACTGCACACTGAGAGCCAGAGAATCCTTAACAGCCAACTCATCAGACCGTTTGGCAAGTAGTCTGTTATCTTTGGGAGTGACAAGGTTCCTGGCCACCACCACAGCTGTCATATCATTCTTCATCATCGAATCCCCAACGGTAAGGGGACCAATAGGGGATATGAAGGATGGGCGCCATATGTTGTCTGGAGAAGGCGAGACTGCCTCTTCACCAACGTTCAAGTCAAAACGACGGTCGGAGGGGCCAGACATTTTCAGAGGTGTTAAAGAAAGAAGAGGTCGGACAAGTCAAGATCGTAGAAGTGCAAGAAGGGAGTTTCTACAGGCAGAAATTCAAGTGTGCTTTGAACGTCCTCGTACCTCTATAAAAATCAGCACTCGATGAGATTTCAGAGATCGAAGAGGCAAGCTCAGAAATCGAAGAGGCCAACTCAAAAATCGAAGAGGCGCTAGCTTTCTCAAAAGCTGGGCTTGCTCAGAAACCACGGGCCAATCTTTTTTTCCAGATTTGTCCGCACTTGTCACATGCAACCTCTGCACTCGACGGAGCCCAGAACTCGAAGAGGCAAGCTCAAAAATCAAAGAGGCATATGCTTTTCCAGACGTGTCAGGATCTGTCACATGCACACTCAGCTTGCGAAAATCACGGGCAGTTTGTCGAAGCGTCGATTCCAGATATCGAAGAGGCACTTGCTTTTCCAGACGTGTCAGCGCCTGTCACATGCATACTCAGCCTTGCGGAAATTACGGGTAATCTGTCGAAGATCTCTTGTGAAGTAGAAAGCACATGAAGTTTACTGTTAAATCATGCAACGGTTGCCGACAAGAGTGAAAGAATAGTACCGGTTATTAATTCCTATAAATGTCAACCTTCACCCTTCATTGCAAGGCAGACATACATAACCTTTCTTCATCTCCAAGAATGCCTTCCCAACGAAGCCTCTCGAGTCATTCAGTGTTCCTTATTCCTTGGGGTACCTCTGCAAACAACTCATCCAAAGCAAAAGTATTTCATATCATGAAGGTTGAAAGCAAGAGTATTTCATATCATGCTTTCTCCCTATCCTTCTCCTTGTCGTTGTTTTCATCTGCGAGACAAGGAGAAAGAGAGCAATCAGCCAGCACTTGGTATCAATCTTCCGATCTGGAACCGACTGCCTGGAACCCCTTCCTGATTGCTTACCTAGCCCTGCTCTCGAGTACTCATCTTCAACATCTTATGCTTCCTCTTCGTCTACCACATCTGCCTGGGGAACAGATAAGGAAAGTGAAAATGATACCTCGAAGCATGTGGAGACAATGTGCTAATTCATCCTCAGTTAGGGACAAGGAGAAAGAAAGTAAGAGGTGGGCACTTGGAAAGATTGAAGAAAGAAACAGACCATCACCTCTACCTCGTGCTTGCCTGTCGTGCAGAAGAAACAAGCAGAGAAGAATGTAGACTGCACAATTAAATCAACCCAGTAGAAGGAGTCTGATTTAAAACCAAGGAACTCTGATATTCCTCGCTCAGAATTCCAAACCAGTTTGAGATCAAAGCTGTGGAAAGTCGCCAAGATCATCCATCTCCAAAACCAGATTTGCGTTCTTAAACTCTACTATGTCTGGTTTTTACTTACCATACTTGTCATGTTTATTCGTTGGTTGTTTGTTTGCTTGTTTTTGTGTGAGTTTATGCTTGAAACATTGAAGACAATGTTTGATTTAAGTGTGGGGGGGGGTAACCAAGTTGTTTTGCATGAAATTCGTAGGAGTTTATCACCCATTACTTCTAGTGTTGTTCCTTGTTGTTTTTAAGTATTTTTAAGCTGTTTTGGAGTGTTTTAATGTGTTTTGACATAAAAATCCGAAAATCTTATAAAAATTTGAAAAATTGTTTTGAAAAACCCAATAAACATGGATAAAAATTTGATTTACTCTTTGGTGTGTGCTTGGTTGTGGTTATAATTTATGAATTCACATGCAATCATAAAGAAAAAAAATCAGTTTTTGTAACATGCTTGAAGGAAGTAACTTAAATGAACGTTACAACCTTGTGAGACTTGAGCCTAAACGTTTATTTAGAGAGTTAATAATCTGTGCATCATTGTTTCTAAAGTCATTGCATGATCTCATTATTCTTTGCTTGGTTGTTACTTAGAAGGCGTTTCATCATTTAGTTCCAAATGCTAGAACTCATGCCTATTTTATTCAAAGCATGCTATTGATTTGCATAACACATATTCAAGATGAAGTTGTGTAGTGATCACCAAAGCCAAATTGATGTGCCCCTATTTCATTATGTGTTTAAGTTTAACCCCATTGAGCCTTGTTAACCCACACTATCCTTACCTAGCCTAGTTTTAGGATCATCCATACCCTTGTTCTTGAAGCATAGTAAAGCATGACCTAAAATGAACTCTTTTTTTTATCAATGTATTGCAGAAAAGCAAGTGTGGGGGAAGTGATTCTTGGATAAATTCTCTTTTGTCGGGAGAATATTCTGACAAGTCCTCCCCACCATATTTTGCACTTTTGGCTGGACTTTGGCCTTTTATATAGCCTTCCATAAAGGAGTAAACGAATTACCTCTAGAAGTTGAAGAAGACGCACTCAGTGATGGTGGCTTAATAGAATCCCATGCAACCCAATAAGCACTCTTAACAGTGAAAATACCCTGGTTATTATAATGCCAGATTAGTTTATCAGGTGGAAGCCAATAACTAATGGGCACGAATATGCTCCCTGTCTTCTTCCTAAAAAAACTCAATCAACTTAGCGTCACACCACGTTTTCCTTTCTACATCAATGAGCTCATAAACCCTTATATCCTCCTGAGATGGAGGCAGCATTGTTAGGGGATGAAAGGTCGAGGGTCGCGGTAGCCACCTATCCCTCCAAACCCGCACCGAAGCTTCATCCCCAATCAGCCATCTCAAGCCCTTCTTTAACACCACTCTAGCTTTGAGTATGCTAGACCAACAATAGGAAGAAGGCGAAGGCAAGGAAGTATTGGGGAAATCCTTGGCCTTAAATAACCTTGCCATTAAGGACTCTGGATGTTGGACAATTCGCCAACCTTGTTTTGCCAGTACCGCCAAATTAAAAGCATAAAGATTTCGGAACCCCATACCACCTTCCAATTTAGCAATGCACAACTTATCCCTTGATTTCCAATGAATCTTCCTCGAGTCTGGATCACTGTCCCACCAAAACGGAGCCATTAATTGATGTAACTCATCACAAAAAGTCTTCGGAAGTAGAAAACAATTCATAGCATATGTAGGCAATACCTGAGCCTCCACTTTCACAAGCAATTCACGTCTCACTCCCCTTAAGCGCTTCCCTTTCCACCCACTCAACCTCTTGTGGACTCGTTCTTTGATATAAGCAAAAGTTTGAAGTTTATTCTTACCCATAAACGTAGGCAGGCCCAAATACCGCTCATGTCGTTCCATTAATTAGACCCCCAAAAAATTGGCAAGCCTTTGTTGCTCTCGACCATGCACGCTATCATTGAACGCGATACTACTCTTCCCCATGTTTATTTCCTACCCTGACGCTTGGGAGAAAACATCCAAAATATCTTGGGCCTCATCGCTTTCCTCCAAATTGGCTTTACCAAACAAGAAACTGTCATCAGCAAACAATAAGTGATAGATACTTGGAGCAGCCTCACAAATCTGAAGTGCGTTAAGAACTCCCCTCTGCTCCTTGTGCGCAATAAGTGCCGACAGACCCTCAATGCAAAGAAGGAATAAATAAGGAGATAAAGGATCCCCTAATGGAGAGCACGAGAAGGCTGCACATGCCCACATGCTTCCCCATTAACCAAAAAGGAGTACGACATAGATTTCACATACATCATCACCACCGACACCCATCGGCTATCAAACCCCCAACTTCAACATTATAGCTTCCAAAAAGTCCCACTCCACCCTATCATATGCCTTACTAAGATCCAATTTGAGAGCAAAAGAACCCTTTTGTCCCCACCGTTTATTATGAAGATAACAGCCTATTTCTGACACCACCAAAGTGTTATCAGAAATCAATCACCCTGGGATGAAAGCACTCTAATGCGAAGAAATTTCTTCAAACAACTCGCAATCACCTTTGCCCCGATCTTATATATGACATTACACAAATTTATCGGTCGCAATGTGACATCTCCTACGGCTGATTCACCTTGGGAATTAAAACTACATGAGTGAAACACACTTCCCATAGTAATCTTCCAGAGGTGAGAAAAGAGCGAACAACATTCACCACATCATGCTTTACAACATGCCAGAACTTCTGAAAAAATAGGGATGACATACCGTCCAGTCCCGGGGCTTTTAACAGGTGCATTTGGAAGAGTGCAAATCGAATCTCCTCCTCCGAGTAAGGCCTCCTCAAAAGTTCCTCATTCATTTCCGTAGTAACACGTCTTGAACATGCCCCCATAACCTCCTGCACCGCACTGTCCAGGACGCCCCGAGAATGGAAAATATTCAGAAAATACCCCACTATTGTGCCTTCAATGCCAACCCTCGAATCCTGCCATACCCTATTCGCATCCCTCAACCTTTTGATATTATTATTCTGTTTATGCTTTGTCCATGTATACGAGCTCCCCACAAACCCCAAGTCAATCAACTAACAAGCATGAATCACCTCCCTGAACCCATCCATTTGACTTTCCCAACGTTGATTGCCATCCAACTGCTCCTCAACACTAAGAATTTCATTGAAATCCCCGATACAAATCCACGGCAAAGAGCTTCGTTGACCCAAATTAGCAAGTAAGGACCATGATAAATGCTTATTCACCATGACCAGATTTCCATAAAAACCCGTTAACCTCCACTTCTGCTCCGACCCTACATTTCATATCTATATGGTTCACCGAAGAAGATAAAATCACAATCTCCACCTCGTCCATCCATAGTACCACCAAACCCCCCCACCCCACCCCCCCCCCCCCCCCCCCCCCCCGACTTTCCCGTTACTTGATACTGCAAAGGATTTGTCAAAACCTAAACTACTCCACTTCTATAAAATCAAATTCTCGCTACATTGTCTCACATAAGAAGACAACCAGGGGAGGATGATGTTGGGTGAGCCCCAATAGGGCCTGAACTGCACTAGAATCCCCAGATCATCGGCAATTCCAACACAAAGCATTCATTGCGAATGGCGAGTGTGCTCGCCGACACCACCCACCGATGGACTAGAACAAACTTTCTTCACAGGTACTGACTCCATAGTTCTAGTAGTGGAGTCTACCTCTCTCCTATGTTTCAAGCCCATTGCCAAGGAACCATCTAACTCTAAGCCAACAGGCATACCCATGTTAGCTCCGCTACTCCCCTGCCTGCATGTCGCACTACCACTCACCCTCTTCGACCTCTTTAATCCCCTTCCCCCCACCGGCTCCATCCTTTCCAAGCTAAACTGTGGGCTGCCGTTGATGGGGAATAAACCTCCAAGTAACAATGGTGTGTCCGACTCTATAGGTTGTATCCCACCCCCACTATCCTGACCTAACCCTACACCACCACCCCCCCCCCCCCCCCCACCGCTATGTCATTCGAACCCAACCCCATACTCGCCTCCCCACTGACCACTGCCTGTTCTGAATGATCACCAGTCTCTTTAATCATATCAGCGTCAGCGTCGTGACCCAACCCCGGGGAAAACCTCGGCGCCTCCATTCTCCATTATCACTCGATTCCCCAGGCTTACCGTGCGCCGATCCCAACGTGGGATAACCTGCCTGTAGCCATTTGCCATACTACACTTATGATCAAGCATCCCACAAAGGAAACAGTACGTCGGGAGACGTTCATATTGCACCAAAACTCTAATAAGATCCCCACCCTCCGATTAAGGCAACCTTAACTGCACACCTCGTCGGAGAGATTTGAACACATCAATGGCAACCCTGATGCGCATGTATTCGTCAAAACAAAAATCATTGTCACAATCAACCTTCATGCATCGACCCAAGGCTGCTCCAATAACCTCCCCCATCTCTCTCGACATATAACGCCGGATGGAGCCCATGAATGCGGACCCAAAAGCACTGCTCCCGTAGTGGGATATCAACAGGAACCTAAAGCTTATTCACTTCCGCCAGTAACAACAAAGATTTCCCGAAGAAACACGGACTGTCCTTTAGAACAGGGCGTAGTTTCTCCTCAGAATTGAAACTAAAGAGAATGCGATTATCCCCAATCACTGTGGCCTCCACACTCCCCTTAGGACGCCAGTGATCCTTAATAACCCCCATAACAATGTTCGGCCTCAAATATTTGTGGGTGAGAACCTTACCAACCAAGAAAAATTTCGAAACCCTAGGCCTCTTCGTCGCCGTATCCCTGATCACCACCTCCAGATTCTCGGACTCTGACAACTGCAATCCCGAGTTGAAGAGCCGAAGACCGCTCCATCCTGTCACTAAACCGAGAACGAACCGCCGCCACACACCTAATCGTAGCAGCCGCCGTCCACAAAACCCTAGACTTGAAACCCTTATGTACCGTGAGGACGAAGGGACTTGGTTTAATTTTCTCTATTGAAAATACAAATGTTGTGTTGCAGTGGGAGAACAAAAAGCATTATGTGCAACTAATGAACTAATTAAGTCCAATACATTAGAGTTCAACGTTTTGAATTAACAAAGCTTACTTATAGAAAATTCCCATACGCGTGGGTGAAATGCTTATGTTAGAGCCAGTTCATGTATTCTGCATGCCATGGCAGGGGAGGATAAGGCAGTCAATATTCATGTTTGATTCTATTACATTTAAAGTGACTAATTATATAGCATAGTTAAGGTGATAGACAAAACTGAATTATTTAATATAACTTGTATTATATCATTAGAAAATAGGAGGGAAACAAATATATTAGGTAACGTTTGTTAAACTTGAGAGCAACTGTGAAATGTCTAGATCGATAATAATTTGCATAAACATGCACTAACGCATTCGTATTTCTCATCATGTAATAACCGGTGCCTTTACCAGTTCCTAACTTCAAACTAAGTTTTCAGAGTGCTGGAGAATCCAGCTAGCTACCAGCGTCATTTGTAGGGCGAGTGAGAGGGGAACAATTCAAATCGACCCATGAATCACAATCATTCCAATTGAATACCCATCCAGCAGTCTGGCCAAGAAAATAAAATAGCAGACCATATTATAAGGACCACGTGCTGGAAAAAGTGTATATAACTATATATAATTAGGGTCATCAGACTTTCTCCTGCAGCTCTCCGACCTTCAAGGAACTAGTTATTTAACATGTGAGCATCATAAAATACTAATTACCATGTCAAATAACAGTGAACAAATTAGATCATAGCGTATCATGTAGTTTGTTTGTGCAAAACTGAAGCGTCCTGATCGAGGAACTGACCTGAACTGTGGTAAAAGTTGGTGGTTCGCGAGCCATACTGGCTGGCATGGCATGCATTCTGCAAACCATAGTACTATGGTGCTCATTGCTCCAATAAGCACGAGGGCAAATTATATTCTATACCATCGAGATTTGAGGTTAGTTTTAAAATTGACCGTGAGTTTCTTTTTTTTCTTTCTTTTTTTTCACATTGCACGTCAAATTTTTAGCATTTATCTCATTATATCTTTTGTTAGATTGATTATACCGTCTCCGAACTCACTAATCTGGCCACATAAGACACACTAATGATGTTAAGAATTAATCGTATATTGATAAGAATATGAACTTATAACTAAGTTGGGCTACTTTCTATATTACTAATTTGTTTTATAATGAAACCTCAACTTTCTTCATAGTTTCAAAGCATGTTGTCTCATGTGTGAAACCCAACGGTCCCATACGCTTCACTTTACACTGTTTGTGTTGTTCATGTGCTAGGCTTGAAAATTCCTCACACGAGAAGACATGTTCAGAATTATTCTCACATTGATGGGGAGGACCTTACATAGGTTTATAAGTAGTTTGGCTACTTTCCATATTACTCATTAATTGGTTTTATGATAAAACATCAATTTTCTTCAGATTATACTTTGAGGTGAGTTCCGCATTTCTACATCATTAACAAAAGGTGAAAATTGATCAAATATCAAAACGTCAAGGTGCAATATGAAAAAATTGAAACGTCATACTTCATTTTGAATTTCACTCTAAACCTTTTCAAAGTATAAAATGTACTTAGCTCTAAGCACAATTTTCAAGTTTTTAAACCATGCACACGTACGTTATGATTTGGTGCAGCAGTACAATTGTTTTTGGTAAGAACAACACAGGATTAATTAGTCCACAAGAACCACAACCTTGCAAATTAACCCTAGCGGCCAGTGCTGGCATGGCTCCATGCAAGGTAGATGTACATTGCGATCGAGGTGATCTAAGGCTCATCCGGAAGTCAAGAAACAAGCATGTGCATGTCTTTTGGAAACCCTTTAAATGTTTGGCACGGATCCTTTTT